AATAATAATAATAATAATAATTTCAAGTAAATTATTTGACCATGATCCCCTCCAAATTATAAAAATTACATTACCCACAATTTTTTTAATCAATATAGTGATTCATATGTACTCAAATAATTTATATAAATATTATTTTATTTTACTAATGATTAAATCTTGAAAATGTGGTATGTCCATTATCTAGAATTTTAATAATAAATTCACATATCTTGAAAATGTGATATGTTTATCATTTATAAGTTTAATATTAAATTTACACATATTACTTATAATATTTTATGTACATCTGTGCATGTGCACAGGATGATAACTAGTATATATTTATAGTTATCAATATTTAATTATATCAATACCGGTGTATTTAACTGAAAATAATTAAATAAAAAAACCTATGTTATAACATCTATATTTATAGTAATCAATATTTAGGTTTCTTCATTTCATAATTAATTTTGTTTTTTCACAACCAATAAATTTTATTAAAACCTCATGAAGTACAAAATCTGGAAATCAATTAAAAATAGCAGGGAATTTCGAAGGAGAGAGAATTCCACAATGAAATGAGACCATATGTGCAGAAGGAAATAAGATCTTGAGTATATATCATTCAGAGATCATTTCTGATTTAGCAGTGATATAGCATAAAAAAAATATTTGAATCACTTTTGGATGTCGATAAGGATTTCTAATGTATCATTCAGATTTTTATTATTTTTTATCTTTCGTCATGATTTGTCAATCTCTATCAGCACTAGTAGTTGGTTTTCATCATAACTTTGTACCTTTTTGATGTGGTCGTTAATAGCGGCTCATGAAGGACCGGTTGTGATCCAGGTTCTAGTCGCACTCAACTGAGTGGTAGGCAGAGGCTTTGGTAGGCGTAGCCCATGGTACCCTTGTACATGGGTGGTAGGCAGAGGCTCTGGTAGGCGGAGGCTCTGGTAGGCGTAGCCCATTGTACCCTTGTACATGGGTGGTAGGCAGCTCTGGTGGGCGGAGGCTCTGGTAGGCGTAGCTCATGGTACCTTCGGAGTACATGGGTGGTAGGCGGAGCCTAGCTCAACGTAAGCTAGGCAGGGCACCTTGGTACCTAGATAGTT